GGATATCCGGATATCCGGGTCCTTGGCCATGTAGGACTTTAAAGGTGATAACCAGCACTTTGAATCGTGCTTGGAGACCAATAGGAAGCCAGTGCAGCTCGCGGAGGATAGGTGTAGTGTGGGTGTACCTAGGTACACCCAATATCGTTCGCGTGGCTGCATTCTGGACTAATTGTAGTCTGAACACTTTTCATGGGCAGCCCCATATAGCCCCACACAAACACACACACCCCTCCCCCAAGACTTAATAACCTGGCTCTGCAAGCTTGGTTGGGAAAATGGCTAGATCTGCATATAGTGCTTCATGATAGTATGATTTGTTTATTTAGTGTTGTGTGATATTATATTTTTCCCACCTTTTAAAAAAGATATAATTCAAGACCGGATACCCAGCATTCCTGCTTCCTATTTTCCTCGTAACAACAACAATCCTGTGAGGTGAATTCAGCTGAGAGAGAAAGAGACAGTCAGCTGGCTTTCATGCCTGAGAAAGGCCTAGAACTTGCAGTCTCCTGATTTCTAGCCCAGCATATTCATCACTACACCAATGGCTCCTCTTGAAGGCTTAGTTTTCTGAATGTGTCCCATGACACCTGATTGGTTCAACAAGCTGTACTAAAAACCAAACCACCTCTCACCGCTTTATGCATGACGGCCACAGCATAATTCTCTGCACTTGGGTTGTTACCAGAGTCTTGGTTCTTCTTTGCTTGCCTGGTTGGATTAAAGGTTCTGTACATAGATGGGGTAAGGTGCTAATTTCTTTAAAGTTCAACTTGTTGTTTTGACCTCTGCTTGTTTCTTAGACCAGTGAAGGAGACAGCGATGACACAGATTTGCAGATATTCTGTGTTTCCTGTGGCCATCCCATCAACCCCAAAGTTGCCCTTCGCCATATGGAAAGATGTTATGCCAAGGTATGTCGGTTTCCCCAGGGCTGCTTCAGTGTGCTGTTGAATTGCATTTTGAAGGATTTAAGCATTGTGCAGGTAGTTCTCGAGTTACAACCACCAGTGAAATCCAGTGCTGAATTGGGGGGCGGAGGGATTTATAGCCAGTCTCCAAAATTGCAACAACCCCATGATTTCTATGCAAAGTGGGTTGAGTAGTTGATAAGAAAGGTAGCAAGTTGCTCCTGCCACATTTTCTTGCAATTAGCTCCACCATGGAATATGAAATGGGACATATATGGGACATCGTATTCTGTAAGAAACTCCTGCTTATCTGGGCTCCCTTGTGCCTACCAGCGGCCGTCGTCGTCCCCCCCCTGCTGCCCTCTTTTGTCTGGTGTCCTCACCCCACCCACCCCACATTCACCTGTTGCCTTTGCTAGCCTGCCAGCACTTCCTACCACATTGCCCATCCACCTGTGCTCCCCAATGCCTACCTGCAGTTCCTCTCCCATGACACACCCTCCTGCATGCCTGGCACTCTTCCTCTTCCTGCTTAATAACCTTTGAGGACCTGGGATGATGATGACAATTGGGATTGCTGTTACTAAGCGATGTGGTCACCTAACACTGCATTATGGCCACATCACTTTGCAATAGTAATCCTGGACCCAATTGCCATCATCAACTGAGGACTACTGATACCTAAGCCATGAGTTGTCTTCCTTGCTTCAGGTTAGTATGATGTGAAATATTGAGGGGAATCAGTAAATAAATTATGGTTTATTGTTGGATTTTTAAATGGCAACGGTGGCTTAATATGATTTGCAAAAGATAGGCGTATGCTCAGCTCCAGTTGCCTTTTAACTCACAAAGTCACAGCATTCAGGACCATGGATAGCAAATAAGCTGGGCAGCAGCAACAAATCATTGTTAATGCCTTTTTTAAAAACAAGCGTCAGAAACATTCATGTTAGCTATGCTTGCATGAAATACCTCTTTGTAGTTACTTTAATCATTCTTTATTCAACCTTAATAGAAAGTGGTGTGTGATGGTGAAAAACATTTAAAAGCATGGGAAAAATCCTTGAGAAAAAGGAAGAGTATTATCAGTTAAATAAAAGAGTGTTTGAGAAGGTTCCACCACAAAACCGCGCTCGACTAAACCGCGTCTGACTAAACCGCGTCGCTGATGTCATCAACAGGGCGACAACAG